GGTCCCACTCTGGAGAAAGCGGAGAAGGTTCCTGGGGCAGGAGCAGTCTGTGAAGAGTCAGTGCAGCCCAGAGCCCCAGACGCTGGCCGTTGGCTAGGTGCAGGCCGGGCCCAGGGCCCTGCTGAGAGCCCTCTTCCCAGGCAGTGCGGCTCGCCTCCCCTCCCCCAGCACGAGGCCCCTGGGTGGTATGTGGGGCCCAGGTGGGGGCCCTGGCAGTGTTGCAGGGGTGCCTCTCCACCACAGGCTTCGCCACCAGCCCTCTGCCCCAGAGGCCGCACCCAGGACCTGGATGCAGTGCTGGCAGTGATGGAGGGTGCCCGGGAGTTCATCTTCGCCTCAGTGATGGAGTACTTCCCCACCACGCGCTTCAGCCACCCTGCCAGGTGACCGCTGGGAAGCGAGGCCCTGGAGAGCACAGCCCCCCCATGGGCGGCTCCCGGGTTCGCAGGTCTCCCCTTCTGCCAGGACCCCTGCTCATCCCAGGGCCCTGAGGCAGGACCCTGACCCTGCCTTCCCCAGGTACTGGCCAGTGCTGGACAATGCACTGCGGGAAGCCGCCTTTGGCCGGCGTGTACGTGTGCGTCTGCTGGTCAGCTGCGGGCTCGGCACGGACCCCACCATGTTCCCCTACCTGCGGTCCCTGCAGGCGATCAGCAACCCCTCTGCTGGCATCTCAGTGGACGTGGTGAGGCTCTGCTCCCAGGAGAGGCTGGGGGAGGCGGGCCCTCCTCTCCCCTCCCCCCCCCCCCCCCCCCTCCCCCCCCCCATGCCCCTTCTCTGTTCCAAAGAAAGTCTTCATCGTGCCTGTGGGGAATCACTCCAACATCCCCTTCAGCCGGGTGAACCACAACAAATTCCTGGTCACGGAGAAGGCAGCCTACATAGGTGAGCAGCTGGGACGCCTGGCTACTGCTGAAGGCGGTCAGGGTCTCCAGTGGAGTTCTGGGGACCAGGCATCTGTCAAGGGGCAGGCAGAGGAATCCTGAGCTGCAGGGCCCAGGATGTCCATCCCACGGTGACCTGGTGGAGTTCCTGCACCTGCCCTGGCTGGACTGATAGCAGAGCAGCCAGTGTGCCCACTGTCCCCACCTACAGCTGGGGCCACAGTCCAGGGCCTGTGGCAGGGGCTGAGCCCAGCACCCCAGCCTCTCTTCTGGACCTCCTCCCCAGGCACCTCCAACTGGTCGGAGGATTACTTCAGCAGCACCTCGGGCGTGGGTCTGGTGGTCAGCCAGAGGGCCCCCGGTGCCCAGGCAGGGGTGCAGCCCGCACAGGAACAACTGCGGCGACTCTTTGAGCGTGACTGGAGTTCCCGCTATGCTGTGGGCCTGGACGGACAAGCCCCAGGCCAGGACTGTGTCTGGCAGGGCTGAGGCTCAACCCCTTGGCTCCTGGTCCACAGCCCCCAGTGAACCCTGCTGTCCACCAGTGAACCCTGCTGTCCACCAGTGAACCCTGCTGTCCACCAGGCTGTTGAAGCTCAGAAATTATAAATGCAAAAGAATGTTACCTGGGGCCAGAGAATTGCAATTCAGATGAACACAGGTTCTGACAATTTTGAATTAAGCTCCGCAGACCCTCAGGTGGCACTGGCTTCTCAGGGGAGGAGGGTCTGTAGCCCTTACATGGAAAGGCCTCGACTGCCACAGGACCAGCCCCAGCTGTGTCTCACTGGCCACCCACCCGTGAGGGCTGGGCCAGACCCAGGCATACAGCTTGCGGGCATTGCTGAGCACTGCCCAAGTACCACCCCCAGTAAGAGATGCCGACGGTTTGCAGGTCTCGCCCCGGTCGGGTGTACCCAGAGCCGCTGGCCTCGGCTTCCCGTTGAAGCGCTCTTTATCATGGCTGCGATTCACAGCCGCCTCTGTCCAGGCTCGGCAGCTCCTTCCTACCCAGATTCTCCAGAGGGGGGCGTGCTAACCTTCTGGGTGGGTGCAAACTGCTGACCTTAGGGAGTGATCCCAGCCCACAAGTGAGGCCTGCAAGCCAGTGTCCCACCCCTTGCCCCAGGGACCCCGCAAAGGGTCAGTGTCTCCGTGGTCACTCCAGCCCTGCTACTTGTCCACGGGGTCAGCAGAGCCTTAGGAGCCTAGGGGCGGAGTTGGGGATTGGAAGGGGTCCTTGGCGCCAAGGACCAACTCGGGCCGCACTTACCCTCTCCTAATCTGAAGCCCCAACACTGGCTCCACTCTGAGAGAGTGAGATCCCCGGGGCTGGCTCACGGCAACACAAACTGCGCCCCCGCAGCTTGTCACTGGAAGTCGCAGGACTCGGAAGAAGCCAGAGTGTATAGGAGGGGCGGGGGGCTGGCCTGTGGGGACAGGACTGGGACCGTGTGGGTGTGGCTGGCGTTTGGCGTGGGTCCTGGGGCTGTGTGGGTGGGGCTAGTATGTAGGGGGTAGACCTAGGGCTTTGTGGCGCCGGCCTGGGGTCTGAGGGTGGGCCCAGGATTTGAGTTAGAACCGGGCCAGGTTGCAGGGCCCTGGTGGCCGGGCTAGAGTATGGGTTCCAGAGAACCTGGACTTGAGCTTCCGGGAGGAAGAGGACACAAAGCTGGGATAGGGAGTCGGAAGGACCTCACTGGAGCCCCTGTCCTTGATGCAGAAGCAGGAGGTTAGCCCATTTTGGAGACTGAGTTCTGACTTTTCTCTTCTGTGCACTGAGGCAGAAGCCTGCTTCAGCACTTACCCTGGCTCACATGGTGGCTTTTGACCAAGACTCGGGGCCCACTTGGCCTGCCGAGGCCCAGAGGCACACAAACTGCAGCTTGGCTTGCCCGACAGTGAATGCACGCCAGGCTGCTGGTGCCGCACTGCGTGGTCTCCCTGCCCTCTCTGGTCCTCTGTGCTCTTGGGGGGCGAACCCGGTCTGCACAGGCAGCTGCAAGTTCCGTTTCGTCATTGTCCTTGCACTTGTTCCCCTCACCCTCTGGTCCGTGCTGAAGGTCCCCTACACCCAGCCCGCCTCCTGCCTGCTTTGTGGGGATCTGGAGAGAGTGTGTCTGTGGGAGGCCTGGGAATCCACGAGCCCTGCGAGCCCCTTGGAGCTCCTGGTCCCGGGTCCAGGTGTGCGCGGCACTTGGCAGAGCCAAACCCGGAGGCTGCTGTGGCCGCTCCCTGCAGGGTGCTTCCCCTCCCCACCACCCAGACCTCCCCTCTGGCCGAGGAGCGGGAGCAGCACCCCTCTCTGGAGCAGACACTCTCTCGCCCACCTCTGCCCTTCAGGGCTGCATGTGTGGGCTTGGTCTCCGGCCCCCGCTGTCCAGGCCTAGAAACGATGCCCAAGGGACACTCGGTGTTCTGGGCAGCTTTGGTGGCCGTCAGCCTGGAAAGGCCTGCTTCCACACACAGGGGTCCTGTGGCCACATCTCAGTGACCTCCTAAAAGGCCGGCTCCAAAGCAGACACCGGTTCTCCACAGCCGACCCAGATTGACACGGCTTGGGAGACCTGGGGATGGGGCGCCATGACGTGGCTTTCCCTGGATGGGGTAGGCGGACTGGAAACCAGCCTCCGTGGTCTCTGCCCCTGTGAATCTCACCTCCTTGCTCAGGGTCAGGACCTGTGCCTGCTTGTCACTAATAGCACACACGAAGGTGATGGAGGCTGCCATCTCCTTGGTTACATGACATAGACTGCACTGTTGTCTTGTCGGGAGTCTGTCCCCTGCTAACTTTGATGAAGAGAGTTGTGCTATGGGGAGGTCCAGGTGACCGAGTACCAGGTGGCCTCCAGCCGGCCAGAAGCCAAGGCCCTCACTCACCCAGCACTCAGGGAATGAACACGAGTCAAGGTAGACCCAGCCTGCTGACATCTTGGTGGCAGCTGTGTGGGGCCCTGAACCCATGACCCACTGAGCCACACTTGGACTCCTGACTGTCAGAAATGGGGATTATAAACGTGTGTTGTCTTAGGTGCTAAGTGGTGATGGTGTCCTTTTGTAGCATAGATGACTCACACACGGGGAACCAAGGTCCCTGAAAATCCTGTGGGGCCTCTGTACAGCCACCTCCTTCCTGGCCTCCAGCCCTGGCATCCCACTCCTGAGGCCTTGCTCCAGGTTCAGAGGGCAGAAGCCTTTGGAGCGAGGTAGACCCCGTGAGCTCCCTGGGACTGTGCCAAGCCATCTGGTACATTTGGGGCACAGGAAAGCAGAGCACCCTGGGAAGTTGGGCAGAGGGGAGCGGAGCACCCTGGGTGGAGAATGCAACAGCCCCACTAGAGTGTGGGACAGAAGCCTGCTTCCCTTTCTAAGAGCCGCTGTGTCCCCTGACGTGGGTGACCCTCCTAGCCATCCACAAGGATAGACATGGCGGGTCACAGTGGCACAGGGAGAAGCACCCAGCGTGCTCCCACACACCTTGGCCCCCACCCTTCAGGCCCTCACAGGGCAGTTCAGGGAGTGGGCATCCTCGGGAGCAGTGGGCGCCCCAGCCACAGTCCTCCAGAACAGGAGAGAACTGTCCTCCCTCCAGAGCAAGGAGCACCTGTCACAGGAGCCTGCTGGGGCCAGAAGAGGCCTGCTACAGGCTCCAGCTGCCCCTCAGGACACTGCAAACCCAGGCCAAAGCCAGGAACGTGCCAGGGCAGCAGGGAGGATGCAGGAAACCTTCAGCTTTGCTCAGCCCCCCGTGGACTCCCTTCCTGTGGGCTGCCCTGAAGGCCACAGTGGTGGAAGCAGCTTGTGAGGACAGGCCAGCATTGCCAGGGACAGCTGGGCCTCCAGCCAGGACCGCTCTGCTGTCCTGCTCTGCATGTTGTCTTCCATGCCAGTGCTGCTTCCAGCTGGTGAGAGGGGTGTGTGTTGGGTCCCCACCCACATGGACTCAGGGCCCCTGTCTCCCTCCTCGTCTCGATCTGGACAGAGGAGCAGGATGGCCACCCATTGTGCACCCTGGATCTGCTTTCTGGAGCAGCCTGGTGGAGAGCAGGACTGAGTGTGCGCAGGACAGGCAACAGCGCTGGGGGTTTGGAACACAGGACGCGGAAGCCTTTACCGCGGAATACAGCGCTTTATTGCCTATCCAGGGGCAGCTGAGCCTGGCTACAATGTGTACATCAAGGGGTGCGGGGGCCACGGCGTGGGGCTGTGCACACTGGAGAAACTGAGGAGAACACATCGGTGTCTCGCGATGACTCTCAGGTGTCCTAACATCTGTCGCCACTTAGTTCCCATCAGGCAACCGTTGGCCATCTCCTGTGTGCCCAGCATCATCACAAGGCATCCTGGAGCTGGCCACGAGGAGGATGTTGACAAAGGAGCCAGCTTGTACGTGAGCCAGTAACAGGTTTTCAAGAACACCACGTGCTCCGCCTGGAGCCAGAGAACTGGCTTCACCACGAGATGGCAACGCAGGGCACAGGTTACGCCAACCGCCTCGACACCCGTGGGCACAAGAACCCTGCCGTCAGGAGCGCGGCCCCTCTGGGCGTTCCTGCAGGCCGCTTGGAGCTCATGCGTGCAGACCAGCAGGCTTCTCCAGCTGTGCCTCCAGTGGCCCCACGACGCTGGGTGAATCCATACAGGCGGGAGTCTGGGCACCTCTGTGCTCCCAAAGCTTGGAGGGAGCTGGTCACGTTTTTGGTTCCATTTTAGGAAGGTTGGGCCATGTGACCCAGATGTTCATGTTCATTTCTGCTTGGTTCTCCAGTCCGTTATCCAGGTGGATGCGTGTGCGGCCAGCCCAGCGCCCCCAGGCGCTCCACCCCTGCCCTCTGCATCTCTCTCCTGCTGACTGGCCGCACCTCTCTTACCCTCATTCAGTTGTGGGCCTGGGCACAGGCCCTTCGCCAACACTTTTGCTGTCCTCCAACAGGATCAGCTCTGTTCTTGCTGGGGATGCCACCATCACTCTGGACCCCAGCCTGGCACCTGCAGCCCCTGCTGCCACCTCATCATCCTCCTCTTCAGGGGAAAAACTTTCTCGGGCGTCAAAGAAGGTGACTGTTTCTTCCTGCAGCTTTTGCCCGGGCAGACCTGCCTCCTCCTGCGAGCTTTTGCCCTTCTTGGCAGGGGAAGAGGAGAACCCTAGTCTGGGAAACCGGAACCAGCCTGCCCTGTCCTGCTTCTTCTCGGGCTCCGGGTCTGGCCGTGCCCCAGGCTGTGTCTGGATGGGAGCAGACCTCTGGGCGTCATCCCTGGCATCGGCACTGGTCTCGCTGGTGGAAGAGAACCCGATGTTTGGAAGCCAAGACCACAGCAGCCCAGAAGACTTTTTACCTTCTGGCTTCTCTTTGGGAGCCCTGTCTTCACCTGCCAGCAGGGTCGTTGCCTCCGGGCGGTCGTCAAGGGGAAACTCGAGAATTTCTGCTGGCTCTTCATCAGAGCCACTGTCTGCAAGCTGGAGGCCAGAGCAAGCCTCACTCGGGAATGTTGGTGGCCCCAGCAGGTTGGCACTGCCGGAGATCATCTCAAATGGCTCTCCAGTGTCAGGCTGCGGATCTCCAGGAACGGTGTCTCCTCCTGGGCACCCTCCCGAGTGCTCCCCTGCTGCGGAGTCTTGAGCTGTGGTGTACGTGCTAGCCTGTGCAGGCAGCTCTGGGATTTTCACCTTCAGCAGGGAGAACCCATAGGAAGGCATCTGAACCGTGCACGTGGGGATCTCAGACTCCCGCACAGTCTGAGTGGAAGGGGCCTCGGGTGCGGCCATATCAGAGCACTCTCCTTGCACATTGCTGCAAATGGTGACCCCTTGACTCTCACCCTGGGACTCCTGAATGTGCACTCTGACCTTAGAAACTGGGGACACCTCTGAGGAGAGGTCAGGGCCCTCAGGCTGCTCCCCGGGCACCACAGTGCCAGAGGCCCTCAGGAGGCTGGCTCCCCAGAGCCCAGGACTCTCCTGGAGAAGGGCCACCTCTGTGCCTGCCTCCGTGCAGGGCACTGCCCTCACCACAGGAAAGAACACATCCGCCTCGGAGCTGGGCACAGGGAAGGAGAACCTGGGCACCTTCAGTTTGGGGAATGTGACTGTTAGCACAGAATCTTCCCAGAGCTGATTCACGTTCACCACGGAAACCTGGGATGGCACGTCAGTGCTGGAAGCCTTCAGTTTCAGAGGACCTTTGGGCTGGAAGGACCACATCTCTGTTCTCGCCTCTGCCTTGGCAAGGTCACATCCTCCTGGCTGGGAAAGAGGCTCCCCACGTGCTTCTCCTGGTGGAGCCAAGGGTTCAGAAGGCCTCACTCCAGGGATCTGAAGGGGAAGGGGGTCTATGGCTGGATGGGTCCCGCCCCCAGGGCTGCGCAGGCCCGACTCGGACACTGGAGCAGTGGGGAAGTGCAGCTTTAAGCTGGGGCTCTCGAGATGACACCTTGGGACGTCTGCGTAGGATTCACTCTCAGGAGCGGCCCCTTCCATCTGGGCTTCTAGGGGCCGTGGGGACACACTTGCCTCTGCCATTGACCCAGGATCGGGGGCTGCCTCTGCTGGTGTGGGGGCAGCCAGCCTGCATATCTCGGCTGTGTCCTGCTCCCGGGGTCCCCCTTGCTCCTTGGAGGAAGAGCGCCTGAAGCCAGGCACGTGCAACGTGGGCATCCTGAACCAGTGTGCCTGCGAGTCTGCCGGTGCTGCTCTGGTGGCAGTGCCCCCCTCTGGGCTTTCCACAGTGGGGACATCCTCGGGGTGTGCCATCCTCTCCCCATGGGACTGGCTCATGGAGAGGTCCCCGAGCCGGCTTTCTTTGCTGTCACCTCTGATAGCCAGGTCATGTTTGGGAAGGTGCAGGTCAGCCTTCGACAGACTCACCTCCACCTTGGGTTTGTCAAAACACAAACTGGGAGGATGGGCCTGTGGCACCTGGACATGCCCCCCATCTCCTTCCAGGGGGCCGGCCGTCACGCCAGTGTCTCCCTGACCACCATCACAGCTGGCCCTCTCTGTGGCTTCGGAGTCAGGTCCATCTGTGGTACTGGACAATGCAGCGTCTGTGTCTCCTGGAGGCAAGCTCTCCCGCGCCTTGGAAGCCTTCCGTCTGGGAAGTGGAAGTCTGGGCATGGCCAAGGCAGGCTTCCTCGGCCTCCCTTTCTCTCCTTCCTTCTCTGAAGGCAGATGCATTTGAGCTTCCGTTGGGGGCACCTGGACCGTGTGCTGGGTATGCATTTCGTCTGTGTCCAGAACCAGGCTGAGTGTGGCGTCCTCTGGGTGGCCCCCAGGGTCCCCTGTTACCACTGCCTGCTTTTTCGGAGACCAGCTAAAAGACGGGAGCTTGAGGCGAGGCATCTTAAAGGGACTGCCCTTCCCATCACGGTCAGCAGCTTCAGCTGGGCCTCCAGCGACAGCCAGACCCAAGTGCTCCTCCCTCCCCGGGGACTCAGGGACACCTGAGGACAGGGGCTGAGAGGCAGGCAGACCGGTCACCACGGCACCCTCACCTAACGAATCCACTCCCTCAACAGGGCCGAGAAGAGACAGGCCTGGGCTGTCCTGGGCAGCACGTGAATCTGCCTCAGCAACAGCTGCAGCAGCACAGGAAAACCCAAGTTTTGGCTTGTGGAACTTAGGAAAAGTCACCCGGGGAAGGGGTGCAGGAGGCTCGGGGTCCCCTGGGCCTGACACACAGACAACAGAGCTCTCAGAACCAGCAGAAGGAGCGCCCCGCTGTGGAGAGCAGGAGGCCTGCGGGCACTCGGCTCTGGAACCCGGAGGGAAGCAGGCCTCCGGGGGCTGGCTCCGCGAGGGACGCTCACTACCCGTGACAACAGGGGGCCCCGCGCGCCCCGCAGCACCGTCAGCTCTAGCAAAAGGAAGGTCAGACGTGAGAAAACTGGGACTCTCCACAGAGGAAGTGACCCCAGACACCGTGCACTCCTGCGATTCCACCCCAGGGACCTGTGAGGACGTTGTTGGGGACACGCGGAGGAGGCAGGCCCCAGGGGCCTCTTCCACGCCAGCAGTACCCCGAGGGGATTTCTTATGAGGACTGAACAATTTAGAAAATTTAAAATGGGGTCTATGAAATGTCAATTCTGATTCTCTTTTTGAAAAAGACGTGTCTACATCACCACTTTCCAACTTGATGTCTTCAGGGGCCAAGTCCTCTGCCACAGCCAGGTCCCCCTCCAGCTTAGCGCCGGGGGCCTGTGTGTCCACCTGCACGGAGGGCTGCTCCACATCAAGTTCAGAGGGGAGCACCTCACCCTTGGGGCTCTTCACCTCCAGCTTGGGGCCCTTTGTGTCCACCTGGGGGCCCTTGAGGTCCACCTTGGGCATCTTGATGCTGGGCATCTGCACCTTGGGCACGTGCCCCTTCAGGTCAACTCCAGAGACTGTGGCCACTGGCAGCTCTCCCTCGGGCAGGGCAGCCTCAGAAAGGGTCACATCCACCTCACCGGGCCCAGCCTGCAGGTGGTCGGTGGGCAGCTGGATGCTGAGCTCAGAGCTTTTGATGTCGCCCTGAATGGACGGCAGGGTCACATTGGCCTCCACCTTGGGCACCTTCACCTCCACGGATGCATCCGAAGCCTTTCCTTGGGCAGACAGGCTGAACGAGGGCATCTTGAACTTGGGCATTTTGAATTTGCTGTCTTTGGTGGCCACTTCCTTGTCTGCCAGGGCCAGGTCCCCCTCCAGCTTGGCACTGGGGGCCTGTATGTCCACCTCCATGGAGGGCAGCTCCATCTCCAGGTTTGGGGTGCTCTCCTCACCCTTGGGGCCTTTGACATCCACCAGGGGCCCCTTGAGGTCCACCTTGGGAATCTTGATGCTGGTCATCTGCATCTTGGGCAGATGCCCCTTCAGGCCTATTCCAGAGTCAGGGGCCGCCTGCAGCTCTCCCTCGAGCAGGGTGGGCTTGGGGAGGGTCACGTCTACCTGGCCAGCGCCAGCCTCCAAGTCAGTGGCAGACAGCTGGCTGCTGAGGTCAGAGTCCTTGAGGTCTCCCTGAATGGAGGGCAGGGCCACATCGGCCTCCACCTTGGGCCTCTTCACCTCCACAGACGTGTCCAAGGCCTTTCCTGGGGCAGACATGCCAAAGAAGGGCATCTTGAACTTGGGCATTTTGAACTTGCCCTCTTTGGTGGCCACCTCCTTGTCTGCCAGGGCCAGGTCCCCCTCAAGCTGGGCACCAGGGGCTTGAATATCCACTTGTACAGAAGGCAGCTCCAGGTCGGGGGTGCTCACCCTGCCCTTGGAGCCTTTTATGTCCAGCTTGGGGCCCTTGACGTCCACCTGGGACTCTTTGAGGTCCACCTTGGGCATCTTGATGCTGGGCATCTGCACCTTGGGCAGGTGCCCCTTCAGGCTGGATACAGCAGCAGAGGCCACCAGAAGCTCTTCCTCCGGCAAGGTGGCCTCGGGGAGGGTCACATCCACCTGGAGAGCCCTGGAGTCCAGGTCGGTGTCGGGCAGCTGTATGCAGAGGTCAGAGCCTTTGAGGTCGCCCTCAATGGAGGGCATGTCCACATCAGCCTTCATCTTGGGCACCTTCACCTCCACCAACGTGTCCAAGGCCTTTCCTGGGGCAGACAAGCCTACAGAGGGCATCTTGAACTTGGGCATTTTGAACTTGCCCTCTTTGGTGGCCACATCCTCCTCTAATAGGGCCAGGTCCCCCTCCAAATTGGCACTGGGGGTCTGTATGTCCACCTGCATGGAGGGCAGCTCCATCTCCAGGTCTGGGACACTCACCTCGCCCTTGGAACCTTTCACGTCTAGCTTGGGGCCCTTGAGGTCCACCTTGGGCATCTTGATGCTGGGCATGTGCACCTTGGGCAGGTGGCCCTTCAGGCTGGCTCCTGAATCAGGGGCTGCCAGGAGCTCTCCCTCAGGCTGGGCAGTCTCATGGAGGGTCATATCCACATGGCCATCTCTCCTGTCCAGGTCAGCAGTAGGCAGCTGCATGTGGAGGTCAGAGCTCTTGAGGTCACCATGTGTGAAACACAAGGTCACATCAGCCTCCACCTTGGGCACCTTCACCTCCACAGACGTGTCCAAGGCCTTTCCTGGGGCAGACACGCCTAAGGAGGGCATCTTGAACTTGGGCATTTTGAACTTGCCCTCTTTGGTGGCCACTTCCTTGTCTGCCAGGGCCAGGTCCCCCTCCAGCTTGGCGCCAGGAGCCTGTATGTCCACCTGCACTGATGGCTGCTCCACCATCAGGTCTGGGGTGCTCACCTCACCTTTGGTGCCTTTCAAGTCCAGCTTGGGTCCTTTGACATCTACCTGGGGCCCCTTGAGGTCCACCTTGGGCATCTTGATGCTGGGCATCTGCACCTTAGGCAGGTGCCCCTTAAGGCCAACTCCAGAAGCAGGGGCTGCCGGCAGCTCTTTCTTGGGCAGGGTGGCCTCAGAGAAGGTTACGTCCACCTGGCCAGCCCTGGTCTCCAGGTCGGCGGTGGGCAGCTGGATACTGAGGTCAGGGGTTTTGCGGTCACTCTGGATGGAGGGCAGGACCACATCGGCCACCTCCTTGGGTGCCTTCACCTCCACAGATGCATCCAAGGTCTTGCCGGGGACAGAGATGCCGAAGGAGGGCATCTTGAACTTGGGCCTTTTGAACTTGCTGTCTCTGGTGGCCACTTCTTTGTCTTCCAGAGCCAGGTCCCCCTCCATCTTGGTGTTGGGGGCCTGTATGTCCACCTGCCCAGAGGGCAGCTCCACGTCCAGGTCTGGGACACTCACCTCGACCTTGGGGCCTTTCACGTCCACCTTGGGGCCCTTTATGTCCACTTGGGGCCCCTTGAGGTCCACCTTGGGCATCTTGAATCTGGGCATCTGCACTTTGGGCTGGTGCCCCTTTAGGCCAGATTTAATGTCAGGTTCCCCTGGCAGCTCTTCCTTAGGCAGGGGGCTATCATGGAGGGTCACATCCTCCTGGCCATCCCTGGTGTCTAGGTTAGCGGTGGGCAGTTGGATGCTGAGTTCTGAGCTCATGAGGTCACCCTGTGTGGAAGGCAAGGCCACATCGGCCTCTACTTTAGGCACTTTTATGTCAACAGATGCGTCCAAGGCCTTTCCAGTGGCAGACATGCCGAAGGAGGGCATCTTGAACTTGGGCATTTTGAACTTGCCCTCTTTGGTGATCACTTCCTTGTCTGTCAGGGCCAGGTCCCCTTCCAGCTTGGCACCAGGAACCTGTATGTCTACCTGCACTGATGGCTGCTCCATGTCCAGGTCAGGGGTGCTCACCTGGCCCTTGGTGCCTTTCACATCCAAATTGGGACTTTTGACATCTACCTGGGGCCCCTTGAGGTCCACCGTGGGCATCTTGATGCTGGGCATCTGCACCTTGGGCAGGTGCCCCTTCAGGCTGGCTCCAGCAGGAAGGGCCACCGGCAGCTCTCCCTTGGGCAGGCCTTCCTTGAGAAGGGTCACGTCTATCTGTTCAGTCCTGGCAGTGGCCAGCTGGATGCTGAGGTCAGAGCTTTTGAGGTCACTCTGGTTGGAGGGCAGGACCACATCAGCCTCCTCCTTCGGCCCTTTCACCTCCATGGACGCGTCCAAGGTCTTGCCAGGGGCAGAGATGCCAAAAGAGGGCATCTTGAACTCGGGCATTTTGAACTTGCTGTCTCTGGTGGCCACTTCCTTGTCTGCCAGGGCCAGGTCCCCCTCCAGCTTGGCACTGGGGGCCTGTATGTCTACCTGCCCAGAGGGCAGCTCCATGTCCAGGTCGGGGCCACTCACCTCGCCCCTAGAGCCTTTCACGTCCAGCGTGGGGCCCTTGATATCTACCTGGGGGCCCTTGATGTCTACCTTGGGCATCTTGAATCTGGGCATCTGCACCTTGGGCTGGTGCCCCTTTAGGCCGGATTTAGTGTCAGGTGCCACTGGCAGCTCTCCCTCAGGCAGGGTGGCATCGTGGAGTGTCACGTAAACTTGACCATCCCTGGTGTCCAGGTCAGCAGTGGGCAGCTGGATGCTGAGGTCAGAGCTCATGAGGTCACCCTGTGTGGACGGCAAGGCCACATCATCCTCTACCTTGGGCACCTTCACCTCCACAGACGCGTCCAAGGCCTTTCCTAGGGCGGACACGCCTAAGGAGGGCATCTTGAACTTGGGCATTTTGAACTTGTCCTCTTTGGTG